CTCTGAAAGCTGTTTCAACACAAGACAGGACAGGTGGGACCCGATGCTGGACAGGCACTGGGTTTTTTCTTGGTCATCGTCAGCTTACTCGGATGCATGACGGCGTGACCCCGACTCCTGTGGCGACGTATAGAAAGACGACGCAACTGGATGACCTTGTTAGCAAAGAATCTGGGAGTTTCAACACGCCGTCATATCGGATATAAAGCAATATATATGGGCGACTTCACTCTTCTATTGCGACGGAATCCCTATGGGCCTCTTATTCGCGGAGGTCATTATGTATTTTGAAACGCTTTATAACATACTGTACTTCCCTCTCCTTAATTCTCTATGACACTGAACACAATCAGTGAGGTTTCTTCCGATTGCTTTAAGCCAGTGTTCACAATCCATGGTCCACGGACCGGCGCTGGTCCGCGGGACATTTTTTCAAGCAGAACAAATGTATCAAAAGTATCAATGAAGGACATGACAGTTTCTTTATAAGAAAATTTTGCACAGTATTTGCAGCTAAAATTATCTCATGAAAAATAAAAGGTGGCCTTTCTCCTAATACCATATTTACTCAAGTACCCCACACCCTTGAGTAAGGCGCGCACAGGGGTTTTTTAGTTCAAAATTTGGCTAAAATTGTATCCCCAAGTAAGACATGCACCCCATTTTTAGGGACTCTAAAACCACAAAATTTTGAAAATAAAAACAAAAATTTGACTTTCAATGTGAATTAAACATGAATCTGACCAATTTTCAATTTTTAAGTAAAAAAAAGTTTTCTTGGTACATTTGTCACAAATTTTTCCATTATAATCAAGTATAATTAACACACAACTTCCTAAAACTTCTTGAAAAATGTGTACCTGCTTATGACGCACACCCCTTTTTTTCTTCTGAAATTTGAGAAAAAAGGTGCGCGTGGTACTTAGTAAATACAGTGATACAGTACTTCAGACAAAATGAAATAAATTATTTTAATGCTTCATCCTGAGAAATTGTTGTTCAAGTCCACCTTTGTCATTTCTTGAAGACATTCCACTATACTTTCATCATCAGTTCTCAACTTTATTTATTTTTCTGCAAAAAAGCAGAAACTTATTTAATACATGCCATAAAAAAGTATTGCAGTCAAACTTATTTTGAGTGTGCAAAAATGTTTACAAAACTTTGCAGGTCCACAAAAGATTTTATGGAAATTTGCTGGTCTGTGGGCCCAAAAAGGTTGGGGAACACTGCTTTAAGCTCAGCCACAAAAAAAAATAATTGGCTAATAGATGCAAAGAAAATAAATGAAGACTTTTTCCCAGTTCTGTGTGTCCAAAAGATAATTTTTTTTCGGAATTGGTTGCTATTTCTAAGGAATCATAAATGAACTTCTCTTATTGAAAACAACCTGAACATAACTTTTCAAAGATCATTGTTCAATTTTTTTTGGCAAATGTACACATCAACCACTCTACATACATTCTTCTAAAGTCAAAAATCTTCCAAACTCAAATTTCCACTTCAGACATATTTAGATCAAATTATGCAATATCCTTTGACGCTTTATTCCGTTAGAGGAAAGAAACACTGTGAAGTAAGTTTCACCCAATATTCACATAGCGGAATCTTTGTGCAAACATCTTCCAAGTGGTTTTCTGGGTGTGATCCAGATGTCACTAAGCCCCAGTTGATCTCAACGATTTCCACACTCATAAAATTCCTCTCATACATATGAAACACCTCAGCATTCCTCATTGGGACTACTAGAGCAGACTAGTGTTTGTGAGCAGCCAAAATCTTACTAGTGGGAAATAAAAAAACCCAACCTGTCTAAAATAGAGTTACCTGAGCTAACTACTGTACCACAATTGGCCAGCAAGAATAATGTCAAACATCCAAATAACAAACAGCAGTGCACTGAGAAGAAAATCCTAGTGGTCAACCAAAATTTGAATTCTTGAACCTGTACAATTTCTGACTGCTGAACATAAACATTACTGTATTTCTGTGGTTCCAAGTGAACCACGTAAAATTGTAAATTGAAGATGTATAAAAATATTTTATTTTTTGGATCCCACATTGTGTATGAGATAGAAGGTCTTCAACTTATGGTGCAGTGTTTGCTATTGAAAGCAAAATGAGCTTTTTAAAAGTCAAAGCTTAATTTAGCATAATAATTTTTTTATGTACATAATAAATTACTGTACGATGAAACAATCATTTTTGGAAGTTGAAGTTACTCCTGTTGAGAAAATAACCAGTTTGAGAAATAACCAGTAAGCAGTGATCTTGACTATAGTCCTCAATGATCAGGTTTCAGGCCTTCTAATTGATCTTATTCCATCATCAGAGCCAAAGACGAACATTCATCATCCTTGTTCATTTCCAAGTAAGATGATGGAAGGTGCTGGACTGTCTCTACAACAAAGAACAAAGTTCAAGGGACCAGAAAAAATCTGTTGCATTTAATTGTAGAGAATCCCCATAACCTGAGGAGATAACCGGCCCATGGGACCACACAAAATGGTTATTGAGAGAATATGGTTGTAGAGTTCGAAAGTCCACATTTTCCAGAAGAAAAATTTACGGTTATTGCCTTGCTGTCAAATGATACTGGCAGATTTTGTCACTTTATTATGCTTCTGATGTATTCCCGTATACACTGCTGCTGGTGATGCGCTTAATTGTCCATGATTTATGCCACGTATCACAGACAAACCATAAAGATACAATAAAACGAAATTTCTCCCAAAATAATCATCATATTACCAACCCTGTCCCAAACAAGAAGGTAAACAATAAAAAACAAGGACTTCGAATATATAGTCCAGGATAAAGACTGTGCAAAAATGTCGGATAATTTTGGAACTGAAGATTTCTGAAGTAATTTCTTATCTTTGAAGTGAGGTTTTGCTGTTTATCCTTAGTTTTCATCCTCTTTCTGTTCTGCTTTTATTTTTTTTTTCAAGAGGGCTCTCAGCTTTACTCTCAATTTCAGGGAGGGTTTTTATTGAAAGAGAGTGCCATTATTAATATTCAAATTCAAATTATGTGGTTTTTATATACTGTATTGCAATGATCCACTCATGAGGATTACAATACTGTAATTAGGTTCCTTACACGAGGACTTGATGGCCCTCTCAAACATTGGGTGAGACTTATTTTCAAGATACAGTACTATAAAAATTTGTATTCAAACGACGTACTGTACGATGATTCGTGGGCATTCGGAATTTTTGTAGTATTGAAATGATTTTTTAAATGTATTGGGTTCAATAGCCGGAATGTTTTGTGAAGTATCTGAATAAGCAGATCAGCGATTATTTAATCATAGAAAAGAGAATCAAAATTTTGATTTGCCCGGTATTTTTTATGAGAATTTATGAGAGTTTTTCTTCAACAGAAAATGTAAGGAATTTCTGCACAGAGACCTAATATAAGCAAAGCTTCCAAGTATGGGTGAAAAGAAACTAAAAGAATAATTATTAAGCTATGAGGAACAATTGACAGGCTCATTGTGAGAACCAATAAACAAAGCTCTCATGATCAGATCATATTTCTTGAATCCAATCAGTCAGCAATTAAAAATGCATAAAAAGCTGTACTATGTCCGAACAATGCACAATTCAATTCAAGTATTTTACCTGTTTTAAAATAAAATTAACATTTTTCTTCATTTCTGATTTCTAAAAATATGCACAAGTAACATCTGTAAGGCCATTTTTGGTGATGATACTAAGCTTATATAAAGTGCTGAAAAACTTTGGAGTTTCTGTCAGTTTTTCACCCATTTAACAGTATACAACTGAAAAAGTACAACTATTGTATTTTATGAGAGAGACAGTATAATATAGCTGTACACTGCAATTTTAAGCCATCATATTGGCTGTGTAGCCTAATTGTTATGGTGGTGTGCCAGCTGTTCAAGACTGACCCAAGGCCCCTCAGGGAGCTGGATTTTGTTGCAAAGGGAGTCATGGTACTCATGGACAGCTCCTAAAGCTAGCGCGCTGCCTGTGCGCTAAAGCACCTAGAAATGTAGCTCCCCAATTATTTGCTGGGTAATTGGAAACGCAGATGTTGAATTAGCTGTAATAAAATGTCTGGAGAAATATGGTGTAGGTTCTTGTGGGCCCAGAGGATTTGGAGCTTATGTACTTTAGTGATCCATCCAGAAATGTCACTATTGTAGTAGGTGAGGCAATTTTTCTCTTCTGTTGCCCTCTATATGTGTACATTTTCTTGAAGGCAACCATTCAAAAGGCAAAAGCAATGAAATTGGATTGAAACGTAACAATGAGACACCCATCTTACAAGATACAATTCTTCCCAGAGAACATAAGCCACATAGCAATCAAAATATTCCCTATATAGGCACTTCCTGATGCAAGGTTAAGGGTGAAAGTTACATGATGCTGGAAGGTGGGAAATTTGTAAATATCTTTCATTTAATTGATGAGTTGACAGAATTTTTCGTACGCCTCACAATCCTCATTTACAGGAATTACAGCTCACTTGATTATAAGTTTTATTTTCATTCATGACCTGATAGCTCCTGCATGATGAGGACAGGAAGGATCACATTGTACTGTGTCACAATGCAGCTATATTATAACACATGATGTCATTGAAGATCCTCAGAATGTTTCTGTCAATGATGTTAAACGGCGATGCGTCCGCTTTCAAGACTTTATTTAACAAAATTGACCTTGTTCAGCAAAGGCGTGAGCAAGACATTATTCATGTCACCTTCAAAGCTTCTGTGTCGTTCAATTCCCCCGCCGAATAGTTATTGAGCTGAAGCAAATTTCTGGGAGAGCAGTTGGATCAACAACTGTTCAGCGATAATGAGGACTACCTCGGTTATTGAAACTCTGATCTTCCTATGAATTCTATTTACAATTCAGTGCTTCGTTCTGTGCCTTACGGTGTGTGCCATCCATGGCAAATTCTGTATTGCTTAGCCACGGGCAAAGTGTGGAGTTAGTTCTTCTTCAAGCGGTTACCTTGACATTGATTTTGTTGCGTTTCAGATTCGAGTGATCATGTAACCGTCCCACATGCAACAGTTCTCGTCGCGTAAGATTTCGATCACTCGAGCAGTACATCCGACACCTTCCATGTGCCAGTTATGGCCTACAAAATCCACTGCGTGTCTGCATTATGCGTAATTATATCGACTGCTGTGACGAGCCTTTCGTGTTCCTCTACATTCGATGCTGCCAGTATGTTATTATTTGACCCTCTTGATTTGAGCAAAAGTCTTAACACTTCCATTTTTCATTATTGTAGCCTTGGATCCATTAGGACTTGTATACCGTCGTCCGGGAGACAATCTCACGGTGACCTGCATTGCAAACTTCTCTCACTCACAGTTTTCGGATCCCCAACGATATGGCCCCGAAGACTTGGTGTTCACGCGCGTTCGGCAAGGTTTAGAAAGTGGGCATTTGCCGTCACACGTACTCAACGATTCATCCATTCAAACTGTGCTGCCTAATTTAACGTGGAGTGATGCTGCCCGTTATCTGTGTAAGCTCAGAAGTCATGATGGCACAACCAAATCGCTATGTTCATCGCAGCTTTTCATCGGCCGTTAGTATCATTTTCTTCAAGCAACTTCTCGAATTGATTTATTATCTTAGGTCCTGTCTAATTAACATCATGTTTCCTTGCAGTGGATCCTCAACCTTTGTTGGAGTTTCGGTGTATCTCCATGGGTCTAGAAACGTTAGCGTGTTCCTGGGTTGTGCCACCCTTGGTGATCAATAACACGGTTTACAAAGTCGGTTATCGCATTTACAACGACTCTCGGGCGATGTAAGTGTACCAAATAATCTAGCCCAATGGGATTTAAAGTGAAAAGCAGTTGCTATAATTTTTTTCCCGTCTCTTTGGTGCAACCCAGATACTATGGATGTGAAAAGACGACGAGGTCCGTGTTGTCAGAACCGAACCGATTCAATTGCACGTTCAACGCGTCAAATTACAACTTCAACAGTGAAACCCTGTACTTCTTCATAGAGGCGTCAAGTCCGTTGAACGAAACTTTCACTCAGTTACCAGTTGTAGAGTTTCACAACTTCAGAAACGTTCGTCCCCATCCCCCGGAAAAGTTACGCGTTTTGGACATCGGTCAACGCAATGCTTCGATTTCGTGGGAAATCAAAGACAAGCTCATCAACCTAATGGACGCCAATGGCTTGTTTCATGAGATAAGTCTCACTTCGGACTTCGAGGAAGACTGGGTGAGTTATTTTAACGTTTGTTTTCAAAAAGTATTACGCGTGTATTACACTCAATTATTTTTACGCATTGACTCACGTAAATGTTTAAATTGATGATTGATCATGTTTCATTGGTTGTGAGTAAGACGCTTCAGTCACCCTTCGTGTAGTATTCGTAGGTTTGATGATTACGTCGATTTCTGTTTTCTCAGGATTTCGAACAAGTGGAGACTACGTTGGAGAACTTGAAGGACCTGAGTGTGGTACATACGCTCACAAACTTGAGTCATCCATTCGCCAAGTACAAAGTGAAGGTGCGGTCAGTGTGTGGCCTAGCCGAGGCCGAGGATTTGTGGTCTGGCTTTTCCGACGAAATGGAGTTCACGACGCTGCCAGATGTGCCGGGAGAGGCGCCGGTGGTGCCTGAAGGTGCTTACTACTTTGACAAAGACGACGGTGCTTTGACAATCTACTGGGAAAAGGTGTTCATGTCCCAGTGGAATGGCCCGAATTTCACCTACGTCGTCGATTTTGTGCGTTCTTTTGTTTTTTTGTTGAATGCATTTTGGAGTAGTGTGTCATCATCTGCAGTCATTTTAGTAAAATTGGGCTTACAGTTAGGCGTCGAACTTCTCCCATTTTGTGTCCCTTTCGTTTTTTCATCTGAGTGCTAATTCTGTACCAAGAATGTGAATTGGAACTTCAAGTTATAACCTTACTGAAAATCATTTTTGAATTGGGAACCGGTTTTTTTCACCCGGAATTCCACCAAAAGGTGAAACTCTTTTGGTCTGATTGCAGTCTTTGAAGTGATGAAATGCCTCTGCCCCCATGTCAAAAATAAGCCAAAAATTTCAAGGATTCGACCAAAAATGTGTTTGAACAAATGATATATTGTTGTAGATGACGTGCTACTTCAAAACACTCTTATTCAATATTTTTATACATTACTTGATGGAACTCGAATTTTTCGAGTGCAGAGTGACGGTATGACTCAAAAACGGATCGAGACGAGCGGGGATAGTTTTGTGGCTAAGCTCGGAGGGTCTTCGTACTCACGCGCCCTCAACTTTTCTGTCTCGGCCAAAAACAGCGTCGGAATGTTGCGAGGACCAGTTGTGCACGTACCGGTTTGGCGCCACGGTAGTTCTGCAAAAAAGGTTTCATAAGGGTTTATGGAAAACTAATACTTTTTTCATTCAAGGTCATGTGAAGGTGAAGGTGGAGCTGTCGAAACCTGGGTCTTACCGCCTTTCTTGGACCCCCTTGGACTTCATGGAGTCTGTGCACAATTACACGATATTCTACTGCGAGAAGAAGCCTGCTGACGAGCACAACCAGAAGTGCAAAGTGGGTTGTTCGATTAGTCGTGTTTTTTTTTTTTAAGATTGATAATTTGAATCAAAGTTGAACTTCAAGGGGCCAGCAAAAAATTGCAATAAGGGAGGTTTCCAGTTGGGGAAACAAGCCTTTTTGTTGGGAAGAGAACAAAGAATCACAGGAAATTGTAATTGATGATATTCTGGGCCTTAAATTGTTTCTTGAATGAGTTGACAGGATGCATAACCTGGAGGCAAGGGTTCATTTGCCCAATTAATCTTTTACTTCCTTTCAAAGCACATCAAGTTACATTTTTCATTGCTTTTCTCTTTCCTGTGTCAAGAAAATAAAAGCCAAAAGGCCTCCAGAAAATTCGAGTTATGGAGGCTTGAGGGGAAAGCTTCGAGTCAGAAAGGCTTTCAATTAATTGTTTCTAAAGGAATTCATACAGGGACTTGACAAAATCCGAGATGGGGAGGTTGAAGTTATCAAGGTTCAACTGTATCAATTTTTCGTAGACGCAGCCACAGAGGAAAACCGTGAACGGATCTGTGACGTCGGACACTATCACCTTATCTGAAGACCAATTCTACTTATTCAGCGTCAATAGTCACTCGGCATCAGGCTCGAGTCCACTGGCTTGGTTCACTATCAATGGCGAGGAGGCGGATAGTGAGTTTTCTGTCGTGTGTCGTATTAGCGCGAATACGAAAAATTCTTATTACGAGACGCCCCTCTTTTTTCCTCCCGTCGTCCTGGAATTCAATAATCTTGCTTTCACTGTCACTTGTCCCACTCGAAATTCTGTAATTGTAATTTGTATTGGTTGAGGGGCGGTTGGAAAGTGAACCGCTTATCGAATATACAGTACTGTACAGTATTTCGAAGATTTCAAACATTAAGATGCTTGTGACAGACAAGATTGAAAAATGCGTTTTTACGGTCAAAGATCAAAATGGTCAGGGTTTTTTTTTTTTCGTTTTTGCGTGTCCGATCATGCGTTGAAATGGTCAGGTGAGAAACGTTGAGACTGCCATTGATTCCCAAACGCACGAATTTGTGTTTGTGGCGGAAAGAAATATTTGTAGTGAATGAAAAATTTTATTTTTCAGTTCGTTAGGGGCAAACATTTAGGATATCCTGTTTGATTATCCATTGATTATTCTGTAGGTGGAGGTTCGCCGACTGTGTGGATCGTCGTTGGGTCAGTGCTGCTCATGGCTTTGCTGGTTGCCTCCATTCCAGGACTCAAGTGGTAAGTATTTTGTGTTTGTGTGTGTCGTGCACGCCGTCGTTTTCCCTCTCATTGCAGTTCATTTGGTATCCAACCCTTGAATCTAATCTTTTTTGCCGATTGCTGAGTAATGCGTTGATAGTTTAAATTAGGTTGAGGAGAGCCGCCCTGATGTTCACGCGAATCAATTTATTTTTATTTTTTTCAGGGCAAGGAGGAAATACAAAGCGATTACGTCTGTGAAGATCAACGTGCCGACGATCAGCGAAGAAGGAGGAAAAAGTGCGGGCAATGACTTCTGGATTGACAAGCACGTGCCGGTGAGTTTTGAATCATCGAAATTTTGGCTCATTCATGTATGAAACCTTGTAACTTTGTGTGTGTGTTACCTCGTTTTAGTTTTCGTCCAAGTCGAGCCACGGACCCCCGTTGCCAACATTGGTGCTTGCTGGTGGCCGGAAGCCGAGCGGCGGATTCGTTCCTCCGGATCTCTACAAAGCAGTAAGTTTTTTCCCTCAAAATGCAAAAATCTCAAGTTTGAAGCGGCAACCTGAATTAAGTACTGTACTGTTCTACAATTGGAGAAGTATCACCCGAAGCGTTGTCACCCACATCTTCTTTTTTTTAAGGCTTGCGTCGAAGAGGGAAATGACTATGCATGGATTCATATACAGTAAAGTAAAATATCGTTACAACGAACTCCGGGGACCTGATTGAAATTCGTTGTAACGAGATTCATGCGTATTTGAGCATGTACTGTATTTTTAAGTTTAGTAGGAAATGGGTAATAATTTACTTATACAGTAGTATTTCCACAACAGATTTTTGAGGAATTGCCCATATTTCCAGCTTCTTTCAATGAAATTGTCGAGGAAATTTGATGTGTGAAATGAAATATTATCTTATTTTAGGGCCTCTTATATTTTCTAAAATGTTACTGATCTTATCAAAGTATAAGCTGGAACGAAAAGAAAATACACGTGTATGAAGAGCATTTATTCAATATAAGTATAAGAACTGGGTGTTCCCTGAAAAAAGCAGTATCTCTTCAAACATACTGTACTTTTCTTTTAAAAAATTAGCCATTTCTGAATTCTGAAATGAAGCAAAATAAATTTCGATTATAGCTTCACGCTTCCTGGAATGCCACATTCTCTGTACAAAACGATGAAGGTTTGAAGGTTTTTCAATTATGCGCAAATTGGGTTTTCCCATATTGTGCCAAGTGCAGTAGTAAAAATATCCATGGCAAATGCACACATAATCGAAGCGAAAATTCTTATGCAGTACAGTACTGCGATGAAATGGGAAAATTTGTTTCATTTAATGAAGTTTTTTGTTACATTTTTCCGAAACTTTTGAGACCTAGAAAAAATTCGTTGTATTCTGTCAGTGTTACGGACAAAGTATAGAAATTAAGAACTGCTCAGGGGCTTTCTGAAACCCGGAGATTTAACAAAAAAGTGTCGTGTAGATAATTAATTAATTATTATGGTAGATGTTTTAGGATTCGCAGCCTCGCTCCTGAGAACACTTGATGTAATCAGTTGTATCAAAAACTGATTAATATCCGATTCTCTCTACGTTTCTCTTTTCCGAGAAATGCCAAAAATGTTCTTTCTATTCCTTTTTTTAGGACATGCATGCGTATGCGTTTATTGACTCTCCGGGAAAAGAACCCGACGCTTTGTTTAATGGGGAAGCCAAAGACGGAGACGACACGTTTGATGTGACAGACTTGACGCTGGAGTGCGTGGACCCCGTGTCCGACGAGGAAGCTTTCTCTGAAGACGCCCACTCGATGAAGTCTGAAGCGAAGGTCACTACAGTGACGCCGGGCTATGTGGAAGTGGGCATCGAAAAAGACGCGGGTCAACGAGAACAGCATCGGCTGCATTACGTCGTCGTTGGCGACGACCGGATAGAAAAAGCAGGCGTCCGACACGAAGAAGAAGAAGAAGAGGAGGAGGAAGTTGACGGTGGCGGTGATGCGAGAAGTCGACACCGGACGCCGTCAGAGTCCGAGTCTGGTTACTCGGGAGATGACGCGGGAAAAGATTCGCCTCCGCCGACGACGACGGCGATAGGATTGGGCTACGTGACGGCAGCCGTAGTTGTCGTTCCGCCCCCGGTCTCCGACTACGTCCTGTCGTTTTAATGCCGCGTTTGCTTGTGAATCGCCGTGCCACAATTTCTTGATTGATTTTTGTTTTGGGTCGCATGAAGAAAGAAAACGAGTGTGTGCGAAGAAGAGTGAAAAAAAAGGTTTGAAGGTATAAAAAGAAATTTTGACGAGAAAGGACGACGTCAGGAAGAGCTGCTCAACTCTCGATTTTTCGTAATTCTGGAGGAAACAATTACTCGCGGATCTATTCAAAGTATTCTTGCGCTCAACTCGAGAAAGAAATGTCGATCCGCTCACTGTTTTCTTCGTGTATTCTCACTGTGATTTTACGTAAAAAGAAAAGCATTCCTGTTCGCCAAGTGCCTCCGGGAGGTTCAGGAGTATTCTAACCGGAATGATTCCATCCGTTTTTTTCCGTCGTAAAAGTTCGTAGTGAAGCCTACGTAAGTTGATTAACAATTCTTTTGTTTTATATATGTATAAAAAGACACTTCGTGGCATAAATTTACTCAACTTTAAAGATTAAACAAAAAATTGTCGCGATTTTTTTGTGTTCAAGGAAAAAAGGACGTGTTTCGCTTTTTGAATTTTTTGTGGAAGATATTTGAACAAAAATTGAGGGAGAAAAGCGGCGCTCAAGTGGGTTCTCTTGGTGAAAATGTTGTGCCTGTGGAGCGACGATTTCTTTTTTTTTTTTGTGGAGCAAGGAAGTAAGTACGGTACCTGTCTTGTGATTATTATTTTTTTGTTGACTTGACGGTTGTGTTGTTAAGTCTTTCGTGGTGGCGACACTTGAAATTGGTGTGTGATTTTTATGCGAATGACTCTGTGCGTGAAGTCGAGTCTCACGCACGCACATATCAGCGCGGGATCTGAAGCAATAATCGGCGTCCGAACGAGTGCGAAACTCGTTTCTGGTTCTCTGACGCTTTTCCTCGCGAAATTCGAACTAGGATAGAAGCAAGCAATCAACCAACCTCATCTTCTTAGGGATTTTTATTTTGTAAAGAACTCGGCGTCCGAACGAGTGCGAAACTCGTTTCTGGTTCTCTGACGCTTTTCCTCGCGAAATTCGAACTAGGATAGAAGCAAGCAATCAACCAACCTCATCTTCTTAGGGATTTTTATTTTGTAAAGAACTGTAATTCGCGAGTTTATGAGCTTAAATGGAGGAACTGAACATTACCGTGTTATTCGTGTTGAAGGGTTTTCTCCGAATGGCCTGCAAATCACCGACAATGTCTTTTTGTGTATGGATGAAACCACTGGTGGCGCTGCTTTTATTCACTATTTATTGATCTATAAGTAAATTTATTTCCATCTATCGAAGATGAATTAGAGATACGGTTTGAAGCCTCGAATCTATGGGGAAAATCAGGAAGACATTTAAAATCAAGAAAGCTATCTGTTGCCCAGTAAATTAAAATTTTGTTCCATTTAGTTTGAAATTTTTCATCACAGCGCAATGGGTTCTTCGTGTGGGCGTATTTTCATGGGAATTTCCAATTTTTGTTAACGGGAAAACTCAATCATTGACAACAATTTCCACATGACCCACATAGATTCTGTTTTTTTTTTTCGTGCTCTTTTGGAAATCATGAGATGAAATTAACCAATAATGAGTTGCTGGAGAGATGTTTCATACGTATTCAATGACAATTTTTTGGGGATTCGCGAGTATTTCGAGGAAACCCTTACAAATCTTGAGACTGTGGGGATTTTTTATTTTGAATGTACTCGACGCGAAGCTTGTCCAGTGAAAAAAAAAGATAAAACACTTAAGCTCCTCCATACCCTTCGTTAACCTTCACGGAAACCTTCTTTGAGTAAACTGCTCAGGCAAACTTACGAAACGACGCGACACTCTTTTACGGCTCACCCCACACAAACTCTTCACGATGTGACGTGTCCATGCGACTTTTCCCCTCGTTTCTGATGGGGGAAACATGGGTCGTGAAAATATTTTGATTTTCCAACTTTTTTTCATGTTTTGATATTTTGCCGCAGCGGAAAAATATTCCGTTGAGCGAAAAATTGTTTTCTTTTCCGTTGATACTCTGCCCTCTAAATTACTCGAGTGATTAAATTGCGTATGGCACTGTTATTTCCGAAACCTGGGATTATATGCGTATTCAGTTTTAACATTACCGTCCGCTTTCGCTGTGAACTTCTGTTTTTTTGCGAGATTTCCATGAAATGAGTATTTTGTCGTGCTTGTTTTCCGATGAAAATCGAGGGCAAGGTTATTTTTTTCCTGACGCCTTGAAACGCACTTGGAGCATGGTGTTTGTTTCAGTTTTTTTTTCACCTGATGAAGTCTTTTTTTTTTTATTGGTTGCTGAAAGTTGAGGATGTCCACCTTGATCTGACAAAATAGGTTTTGAGTTTGGAATCTACCGTCGGAATTCATTTAAACTTTTGTTCAATCTGAAAAATCGCGAGCCTGGTTTCTTTGGATTTTTTTTTTATGGGACCAAACGGATTTTTCCGACGACCTCGATCATCCCGATGTTGTGTCGCTTTTTTTTTCCACCTCACTCGGAAATACGGAAGATACATTTGAAGAAAGAGGGGGAGAAAAAATTGTCTTATGAGCTATATGGAGAATTTCATTTTATTCCGTTGCGAATTGTCGTCGTGTGTGCGTTGCCTGTTCTCAATTTTTCTTCTGACGCTGTGTCGGGTGACCACCTGATGGAATTGCTGTACTCGGTGTCTGCGGGACGTGCTGCCGAAGCAGCAGCATTGTCCACGTTTTCCGTTCAACGCTTGGTTTGTAAAACGGTTTACTTGAGCCGCACCCTTGTTTAGTTCAAGAAGTACGTTTCATGGTCACAACTGATTTATCACTACTACTTTATTAGTACTTAGTCAGTTGACTTGAAACGAAAATGTTACTGTTTTAGTATAATAAGGAGCACAAAAACGCTGTATGGAAAAGCTTGCATCCAGTAGAAGGATATAAACCCCATTTTTATTAAGGTTCATTAAAAATAATCAAAAATAAGCTTTGCTGTATTTCGAAATAAATACTGTAGTCTGGCGTTTGCAGAAATTGTTCAAAAACATTAGTAAATGAAATAAAGCATTGCCGTCTGCAGTTTGATCAGCTGCTGACGCTCATCTCATATTCGTCTTCATATGCTTTTTGAATTTTAGTTCAAAGAATTTCGCCAGCAGAAAAAGTTTTATTCTGCATAAAAAGCAGCTTTCATATTTCAGCTCAAATGATTATTTCGTAGTCACGTGCATGCATTCCGTTGGTATGGAAATTCAGGACTGATGAACGCAGCAAATTTCCAAGCAGTGCTTTCAGATTTTTGTTTCACTAATGAATGTAATTTTTTGCATGCGAATAGAATTAGTAAGAGTCCAGAAATAAACACGGATTCCCTGTAAGATGAGAGTTCGAATTGTACGTCGGAAATTCACGAGAACATCGTACATCTTACAATCATTGATCTCAAGGGAATTCCAACGTCATTCATTGAAATTCTCCACTGTACTTCCAACGTCATGTCCTACGCTTGACAACAGTTTTGGTTTCTCAAGGTTGCTCAAATCAGCACTTGATGCTCATGACGATAGTATTGTCATCATTTATTGAACGCCTTTCTTCAAACAATATTCCACATTCCGTCCATCAGTTTTGGCTGTCTCTGCTGCATTCTGGAAGTGGTTTAATGTCCAATTTCCGCCTAGTTCGACGAAGGTTTAATGCTTGAGTATTTTCTGAAAATGGGATTCGGTTAAAAAATGTATTGGCAGAAATGGGGAAAAAAGAACCTGCGTCTGACTGACCTTCTTCTCTCCCAGCTGGGCTCTTTGACCAAAGGGAAACATATTGAGGTATGCCATATGCGTCAACGTTCTCATGCAGGAACTTGGACCAATCCAGCAAAAACCGGTTTTGTTTCATCCTGTTTCTTTTCTCATCAAATGCATGAGGACTTTAATTAAAGAGGGTTCTTCTAATGAAAGAGTCCGTTTTTTGTTGTCGGTCAATCCACCAACAGCTTCACTCTTATAGGAATGTTTACAGATGGACATAAAGTGAGTGTTGAGCAAAATATGGCAAGGAAACGGGAAGAAATACAGTACTTCAAATAACACACAGCAACAGATTAGAATCTTGTTGCAACAAAGTCCTTGATTCTTAAAACTTGCTATGAGGCAAAACTCATGATAATGGGACTCAAGAAACATACAAGTGGAGCCTTGCAATTTGACCTCCAGTAATTTGACCGTCCCTCAATTCAATGGTAAAATTTGCTGGGAGGTTGACTCACAATTTGACCTAGGCCCCTCAATTCAACCTACAGAGATGGGCAAAAATGTCAAATACAATGTAGAAAGCATTGCATTTCACGTTACTTCACAATTTGACTCCTTTGCAAGTTGACCCTAGTTTAATTGCAGGGCACCACCAACATGAGCTAAATAATAAAAAAGAAATTGAAAGCAATTTTTTGCTAGCAAAGGTTCATCATACTGTACTGCTGTATTTAATCAAGTAACAAATGCATCTAAGCAAGATCAATTGTGAAATATTGTGATATTTTCTTAATTGTATATGACACATCTTTTCTTTGATCTTCAATCTCAGAAAAAATGTGTGTTTGATAAGTATGGTATGTGTGTCACACATATATTGATCAGTTCCTGGTCTGGGATTTTAAAATAATGTTGAAGATTTCAGTTACTTGACACAGGGTTGTTAGATGATAGGTAAGACATTTGTTATTCAGGTAAACTATTTCTTTGTAATCAATCAGAAAATTACCTTCAACATACAAACCCTCAATTACTAATCAATTTTTTAATTTCAACCAAATTTGAGACTTTCCTGGCAAGTTTCTGAAATAAATAATCACAGGCCAAGCGGGGAAATTGGTGCACACTGGGGATTTGTTACTAATTCTACACAGTGAACCTGCTGTGCACCTGAAGTGTACCAAAGTTCTTCTGTTGCACATGCATATCTCCAATGCGCACCAATTGTGCGTTCACACCAGGATTACTCAGGGTCACATTTGTAAGCAAATAAGTTACACCAAGGCTATAGTTGGTGCATTTGTGTGATGCTCCTGTTGCTTCACATTTGTGCACCAAGTGTAACCCTGGAATGGTAGCAAAATTTCCTCTACAGGAGTGCACACTTGTACCCCCAGAATATACCATATGCTCCAGTTGTGACCCTGGTTGCACCTACTGTGGGGTTACAGCAAAAATAGCTCCCCACTTGGGAGGAGGAAGATTACAGTACAAGTGGTACCTTGAAATTTGACTCTAATATGTTGCTGAACTAGGGTTGAATTGCAAAGCATTCAAATTGTGGGACACTGCATGAAATTCAAAAATGCAAAAAAATTTCCAAAGCTGGTCAAATTGCAGGGCAAGGGTTGAATTTCAAGTCAACCTTGCTGCAAATTTGACCATCAAATTGCGGGACAGTCAAATTGTGAGAGGTCAAATAGCAAGGTACCACCTGTATTCATGGATCAAAAGCCCATTTGACAGAGTGTGGATTCAAAAAATCAATCAATGCTAGTGATTTGAATTGGACAATTTGAGATTATTTAAAATGCTGGGAACTTCTACTTTTTTGGCTGATCCTCGCAATCAAGGACGCCTCTTTGGCAAAACGATAATCGTTGAATAAGTTTTTGCCAAGCCCGCAGATAAGATACAGTATAAGTATTGA